GAGCACACTTGGTGTCGTGAAAAATGCGGTGAGAAAGACGCTTACCTGCTGCGAAAAGACCGCGGTCCGATCTGAGTGGCCGCAGTGAAACCGAAAAATACGTTTGACATGGAGTTCAGCAGAAAAAATATGATCAACTGTGAGGATATCGAGAATGGATCTGATTGGCTGGTAGCTAAGCCGAGATTATTCGCATTGGTTTAAAGAGATACAAAAGAATTGTATTTGGAGTGAAGAAAATCTGGAAAGAAATTTTTTTCACTGGACAGAAGTGCTAAAAATTCTGACATTAACATTAATTATTAATTCAATAAACATTAACTTATCTAAATGTATCGGGTTGAACCCAATGCCTTGAGAAGCTAGAAAATAGATAAGTAAAGCAATGCTTCTGTTGATGCATCGCTCCATTTCTGCAATACAATTAGACGATGCATCGAGTAAAACATCGGTCGATCCCAGAGTCAATGCCTAATGCATACGTCCATGCATTGTCCGATACACTGAGCAGTGCACTAATGGATGCATCTAAATAGACACCTGGCATGTCATCCGTCGACATATATCTTTTTACTCTTCTTCTCTCTTTCACTGTGTTATGAACGCCGTTTTATTCTTCCTTTTTTTAAACATTAAAAGTTGAATTAAAAGCTTCGGGCTTTGTTGATTTCCCATTGAAATCCATCTGAAACATCGGCTTACTTTCTCGAACTCCACAGTAAGATTGGGACAGTAATTATCTGCCACAGAAGATTCGGTAAAAACACGACTTTAAATATTTTTAGATCTGAGAAAAAAAGAGATATAACACTATGAAAAGAAAGATAGGCATATCAACTGTTCCAGTCTTATGGCAGAGCTAGGGAACGTAAACCGGTGTCTCAGATGGATTCCACTGAAAAATGAACAAAGCCGGAAGATTTTAATTCAACTAAAAAGGAAGAATAAAACGGTGAATGAAAACAATGAAGTAATATTTCCACGTTCATAAAACAATGAAAGAGAGATGGAGAGTAAAACGATATATGTTGTGCGTAAGCGCTAAAAGATATTTTCTCATGGTTATGTCTCTAATGGCTGCACGTAAATATGCTATTTTTTATTTTCAGTAGTTTTCACTACGCTCCTTCGTCAAAATGTTCATATACCGATATTTAATAGTGTGGGTCACATGTATTTATGATCAGATGGTAACGTTCTTTCAAAAATATCTAATGCTTGACAATAATGTTGAAGAGCTTCATCAGGATGTTTTGTTTTGTCGTAAATATCTCCCATACTGTTTAGACATAATGCTACATAGGCATGATGTGACGGTAGTTGTGTTTTATATATGTCTAATGCTTTTTGGTGGTATTTTATGCCATCATTGTAGCTTTTCTGTTTCACATAGACCAACGTCATATTATCAATGAGACGTGCACGATCAATATCGCTATTTTCACGCATTTTCACCACTTGACTGTAAATATGAAGTGCCTGATCGTAGTTTCCTTTTAGTTTATTAATAATACCAATGCCTTTTATTGATTCAACAGCAACAGTGACAACCAATGGACAAGCAATGTTGTCCGCGAACACTAATCGGAGAAACTGTATTTTACATCACAACATACAGAATATATTATCGGACGGATGTATAGAAAGACAGTTAATTGTAGGATCCGCGTCCCGAAGGATCCGTTCAAAATTTGAGCGCCATTCAGAGATATTATAATCCCAGTACGCTGGGGTATCCACATTCAGACATCCTAATACTCAAAGGTGTTGCAATATTCTAACTGTTTTACGTCCTAGAAACATTGAGGTAATACCCAAAGCGTTTAATAAAATAACAGCTGAGAACTGAAAGATAATACCGTATGTGTTTTATTGTTGACGGCTTGAGGACTAGAAGGTAATATCCTACGTGTTTGATAAATGACGATCAGATTAGAAATCCATAGAAATTCAGTTTAGAGAACGACAGTAATATACATGTATGCTACATCTCACTCACTACTGTTAGGTTAGTTAGGTGAGGTGAGATGAGATGAGGCCAAGAAATTCAAATGAATTTTCTCACGTTACTTAACACTCTTTGGTTAGGTTAGGTAAGGTCAGGAAAATGAAGAGTGGCTTCGTATATTCAACGCATCTTTAAACATTCGCATACCTTAATCAAGCATTCATTGTCAGTAATGGTACCACCCTTGTCTCTCGTAAGGTCCTGAATTTTCGGTTGTAATAATGTGTAGTGCCATATTTCAAATGGAGAAGGAATTGTCATATTTTACTCAAATCAGCTTTTTCTAACGCTTTTTTGATTAATCTTAATGGGAATTATTGTTATACTGAGAGATATATTTTCTATGAGGGTATTGCTGATTAAAAGTGGGGAAGGAAGAGCATCCTATGCTCAGTATTCACGTAGTGGTGAGCACCCTAAATGTATTTGCTTAACTATAGAAGAATCTGATAGACACAACTTTTATTACTTTGCCAACGGTCCATAGTTTACGAACCGCATTCCTAGCAATTTGTGGATTTCCCGACATTATCTAACTTTATGTGAGCCAGCAGCAGAGCCACGCGTTAGTTCATTTGAATTTCCTGGCATTACCTTACGTTACCTACCCTAAGATGGTTTACTACATATACAGATATATAACAAATAATATATATAGATATAGATATATATAAAGGACTAGTACGTCCTTACCTCAGTATACCCTGAAACTTAGTGGCCTTAGGTGACTTTATGTAACCCATCGATTTGCAAACAAATATTGTTAGAACAAGAATTTATTTTTAAGGTAAAATTTTTAAATTTTTAGGAAACAGGAACATGCCATGTACTCACTAAAATTGTCTAAAATCAAAGTTAAAAACTCGGACTTCATACATTTATTGTTTAAAAGATAACTGAGATTGACCTTCCCTCATATCTGTATATGTAGTAAACCATCTTAGGGTAGGTAACGTAAGGGAATGCCAGGAAATTCAAATGAACTAACTCGTGGCTCTGCTGCTGGCTCAC